CATGTGCTGGCCTGTATAACCACCAAACACAACAAAACCAATCAATCTAGTTTGCTATTCATTTTCCTTGGAACAAACACAAGGGAGCAAAAGAGCGACATCAGCTATAGAAGGCTCAGCATTCCCCAGGTCCTCTCTCATGATTCCTGATTGACTGCAGTCATACAGAAAGTCCATCCTTATTTCCTACTAACCACTATTTACACCATTGATGTTCTATTCAGTTCATACTATAATCAATTGCCAAAAAACCCCCCACAAAAAACCCAGTACTGGTTAGATTGCTCAAATGTGTATTTTGTACTTATTTTGGAAGAATGTGTGAACAATGCACAACATCGCAAATAGTAGTACCTCAGGAGCAATGTAGTCTGGAGTCCCACAGAAGGTCCTCGTTGCTACGCCATCACTCATATTCTCCTTGCACATTCCAAAATCTGCAATCTTGATGTGTCCTTCATGATCCAACATTACATTATCTAATTTCAGGTCCCTGTAAGAAACCACAGCAATTAAACATTTTCACCCCTCTCTCCAAGATATCAGGGATGGTTTCCTTAGAAAAAAATAGATTCAAAGCATGACATGGCTGTAAAAACCTGTAAATCAAACAAATAAATATTTGGGAGTGTCATTCTTAGTTTCGGGCTACTTTTAGAGGCTGTGGTTGAGGATATGAGGGTGGATAGACTGAAACTGCAGTAGAGAGGACACATCACAGGAACAGAGAACACACTTTGCATGTAGATGGTCCCATGTTCATTCCCCACTATTTCCAGGTGGGACTAGGAAAGAATCCCCCCTTGAAAGGCTGGAGACTCACTAAGAAGTATCAAGAATGCTGAGGTGGTCCTTAGACTCTGACCCAGCATAAGACATCCTCTTTCCTCCATGAAGGAAAAAAAATATGGAGGTAATACTACAGGATGATCCAAGGACTCTGAGCATGCGGAGTCTGTTATCACTATAGTTTCTAGCCTACTAACTCAAGTTCATAGTGTGGGAAAAGGTACTGAATTGACATAACAGCCATGGGTGAAAATTATACCTGGATCCTTGGAAGCTTCCAGATCTGACTACTATAAGGTGTTTTGAGTGGGGATGTGGGGAGGCACTGTTTCAAGGAAATCCTTATAGCTTCGGTCAGTGCAGTAGGCACCCATTTATTTTCTAGATGAAGCTAACCTTTTCAACCTGAACTCCAGTAACTGTGCTGGTTACTCTTCAGCTTCTCGACTTCTGGAGTGTTTGGTTTTATGCTTCAAAGCCATACCAAATTAATTCCACGACACCTGTCTATCTTCTAAAAGAGGAGGTGTCCTCTTTTACATCCTCCTCCCATTGAGACAGCTCTCTCATTCCATTCAAAGCTGGGGAACTCTCTAGACAGGGTGTTTCTGAGGGGCATGAGCGCCACAGTATTCTGGAACAGGCTTCATAAAGAAACACAAAGCCAGTTTTCTTTGGCAAGATTACTACTCCTGGTTTATATTGGCAGGATGATTTCACTGGGGATGTGGCACTCTAATTTTCTGAACTCCCATCTGCCAGAATTTCTCCAAGAATTCCCGGACAGAATTCTGAGAGTTCCAGTTCACAGATCCACCATTTCAGACATCTCTGAGGCTGCATTCTAGGTGTCATTTTCTGACACAATATTTCCTGGGCATCACAGTCTCTTTGTACTCTATTGGGGGTGTCTGTCATACAACACCCAGCAAGCACTGCAGCAGGAAATGAGGCCTAGAATCCATCCTCTGAGTTGTTAGGGTATTTTAAAAAATACTTAAGTATTCCAGAATCTTCAGTCACATTTTTTTATGATTTAAGCTGCCTTAAGCATTCCTGTTGGGAGTAGAATGGTGGACTAAAAATAATGTAGACAAAGGACATGAGTTGTCCTCTTCCTTGTAGGAGTCGACAGCCTACCTTCTCTCTCCTCCCCCTCAACATACCTTTTTCAGG